GTTAATGCGTTGTTTTAGACCACTAAAACGCCATCGTCCCTTTATTTGCTATTTTGCTTTAAGCCTTCAGATTTGTATGTGGCTTCTTTTTAAAACTCTGTGTCCTGTACTTATCTTACGCCACTGACAAGAAAGCAATCATAATAAATAAAATAAGCTAAGACAAAGGTAATCTCATAATAGATATTACCTATGGGGTGTGAAATGTACGGCCTTTACATATTGTTGAGAGAAAGAAAGAAAGAGACGAAGAAAGAGAGACTGGGTGTGTCTTTTGTCATAGCTTTTCATTCACAGACAGTTCTGGAAATTACCTGTTGCCTGTTTTTTGAGACCGAGATCGAACGGATAGTTGTCCCTTCCAGGATGCTACCTAAAGGTTGACCATAAAATCCTGAGTTTTAAAATCTCAGTCTGGACGGACAAAGCAGGTCCCAGATACCTCGTCTAACCTCCAGAGGAATTACAATTAAGGCAGCCGTAACGACTACATTAGTTTGGTGCAATTCAGGCCGAGTAGACGAGCTTCACAGTACTAAAGTCGTCCCCATGTGGAATGCAAGTTTTTTTTTGTTACTTGAAGCCCCAGCCTGGCTTCTGACGCGGTCCCTGAATATAGACAGTGAATAAATATGCCCTAGCTTTAGATATGGCCGAACGGCTGAACGGGGTTTCCGGGACCTCTCCACAGGTGATCCTAATCCGCATGGTGGCATTTTGTGTCACCGAATATTTATTGTTTGTGTGATATCCTGGTGCGGTACAACTTACCTACCTACCTACCTACCTACCTACCTACCTACCTACCTACCTACCTACCTACCTACCAGAGCTAAAGGTGTATACTGGTGTGTGTGAAAAAGGGAAGGACGGGCTGTCAATTCTGGTAAGTGAAGTCGGACCATACTCTCAGCACAAGAGCGCACTAACCACTATACCACGGCACATATAGACAATAACGAGACTACGCTTGCAAACAGCAATTTTTACAAAAAAATTACATATATAGATAAAGCTGCTAATGAGACATTGATTTTCACAGGTTTTTTTTCGGGTTTAACTGAGGCTAATTGCAAGCAAACGTCTAGTTATGCAAGTCTCTTTTTACCCAACACACCCCGGTTTAGATCTGCTGCTGTTATTTCTAAATCGGGTAAGAAAGAAAGAAGACACCTCTAAGATTAGGGTTGTCTTTGCCTATCACTTCACTTGACACAAAAGTTTACAACACAAAATAATTGACGAACGGGTACAACAACGCCCTTAGATAGAATTTCACGTACAGTACTACAGTTTTGTGTACACAAGGACATAAACACCGACTAGTACAACTTCATTTCACACGAACACGTACATAAACATATCACGAAGAAGGGAATCTCAGCCAAGATCAGTATCGTATGTGTTTTGTAGGGTTGATTCAAGAACCGATATCACAGCACTCGGGGCATTCCCATAAGCGCTTCGTTCCCCCCTTTAGCAGCCACAGTAGAGTTTCAGTACGAATAGTTCTAGTAGCAGTCTGATTATACGTCCGTCTTGCCTTTGCTCTGAGCGTCAAATGAGCCGTCGTCACTCCTCGTTGCATCACTCTCACCAGACTGTGATGATCCGTTTGTTCCTCCGAACTGTACATGTGCTCTAAAAGGACATTGACCACATCTGCTTTGTCATGCATCAGTATTCCACCAAGTTGTGCAGAACCCGCCATTCTGTCCGCCTGTTCATTTCACAACACACAGGCATTCACAGACAAAAAGATAAAGACAATGCTCCCCACCAGTGACTTCCGAAGTGAAGCATATCTGTCCTCAGGTTCCTCAGCATGCTTTCTGGGCCAGTTCTAATAACGATGAGCGTGTACATCGTTTTCTCTAGCCAGCGAAAAGCTGCAGTGACCACCTCCACCTCCATTGTTAAGCTGGATGTTCTGGCATCATACGCTAAGCTCTCTAGCGTGAAAAGTGTCATTTACTTGCTTAATTTCTTTCCCTGACATTTAATCTTTTTTTTCTTTCTGTTTTTAAAAGTGACCACGCTCCTTTTTTAATTCCACCTTTCAAAGTATTAATATGATGTGTAACAATAGCCACAGCCGTCTCTATAAACTAGAGATTTCTGGGATTTGCTCCTGTCAGATGCTCATTTGAATAGACTCTTTGAGTCACTAAATGGTAATCTTCAGGCTGCAGTCCTGAAGGAGGGATATTACAAAATTACTTTGCACTTTCTGGATGAAGAAAAGTACGATAGCCAGCGCCTTGTGGCGGATTGCAGCGTTCTTCCACATGTTTACACCTGCAAACCGGCAAAATTGGGACATTGCCTCGCGGACAACATGACAGTAAATCAGAAATAAAAACATCGTAGATATCTATTTATTTATTATTGTTATTTTGTTTTCAAATTCGATGCCCCAGAAATGTAGACACAATTTTGATGGACCAAGGGTTATTTTTGTGACCCACCACTGGCCCGGGAACCACCGGTCGAAGAACACTGACGTTTACGACATAGCAGCAAATTGTTATAACCTCTCCATGTGGGTTTCGGGCCCCATTGTGGGTGTAAAACAAGAAAAGACTTATTGCCACCCTAACAAGGATGTCGCTCCCCTTTGGGAGCGAGTGAACAGTGCGGAGGCACATACAGATCATTGCGGTCTGAGGAGAATGGCGCTGTGAGGAATTACCAGGGTATCTGGCCGACACCCAACAATCAGGGGAAAGGTGACACGGATTTACAATCAGTTACTGGTACCATCGGAACTGGAACTGTTCGCTTGCTGCTGAAAATGGGGACGGAGCGCTTATTGAAGTGTCTCGAGCGCTATAATATTGATTCCTAATTTAACATTCAAGCATGTCGTAAGATTCGACTAATTGGGACAGTCTTCGAAGTTGGAGTACATCTACCTGAGAGGCAAGGAAACAAGATCTGCATTAAAAAAAAAACATTACCTGTGAAACTGATATTCAGGCAGCACTCTGGTTCTAGTCTATGCGGCTACCATTTAATACATTTCCCCCATGTTGTGGCGCCCCAGACAATGACTTTCCTTCGCAAATTCAATGCATATGTGTTTTCCGATAGTCTTATGCGACCTCTGTGAAAGGGTCGTTCGACACTAACAAAAAAAGAGTTGTGACCACCCCCCTTCCCCCCCCCCCCCCCCCCCCCCCCCCCCCCCCCCCCCCCCCCCCCCCCCCCGCCGTTCTAGAGCAAGACTAAAATTCTGAGGTGGGCGAATACCCAGAACTTTCCGCCTGAGTTTACAGCCGGTGAATGCGAAGAAGATACAGATAATCGTTGCTGCGTGATGGCTGGTCTGATTTTTACAGTGCACAACAGCATTTGCCGACAGATGTTCAAGTTTTTCGGTATTGGAAACACTTAGATGTGTCCTTGCAACAATGGGAGTCGCCGTGGTCTAGCGGCTAGACGCTCGGCTGCGGATCGGAAGGTCGTGGGCTCGGTTCCTGACGAGGACTGAATTAAAAAAAAGGACCTTGGCTCCTAGGTTGACCCAGCCTTGAGTTGGTACCAGGTACAGTCATGAGAAGTAAAGGCGGCCGGCGTGATGCTAACCCCATCCCCCACCAAGTGCCGTTTGGTCTATAAAATATAGATATAGCCATATATACCCAATACGCATTGAAGACATGGAAAAGGGCCCTTTACTTTACTTGTATACACACACACACATATACGTACATACACAGACAAAGGTAGGATGTACAGTTGTCACGCTGGTACACACGGACACTTTATTTCAAGAAGCAAAACATGCTTACTAATTAATGAATAAAGGAATCAAGAACTGACATCACTGCACGTTCCACATGTGCTCCGTCCCCTTCTTCAGTAGCCAAGGAAAAATTGACATGCTAATAGTACCAATAGTAACCTGAATAAAAGTCCACCTGTTCCCCCCCCCCCCCCCCCACCCCCACCCTCTTCCACCGACCATCTCAGTGTCAAATATTTTCCAGAACCTCTACTCGCTCCCCATTGAATTAGTCTTTCGACGTATGGATTCCCTTGTCTGTAAAATTGAACCGACCATTTGATCCCAGAAAGCATCCGTCACGTCCGCTTTATCATAGCTCACCGTCTAGAGGAGCGGGAACAACCAATCAATCAGCCTGCTCACTACCCTTCACACCCGAATATCGTGGACAGAATATCCATGATATGATCCCGATCTGAGTCTTTTCAAGTGATGCTAACCTCTCTACGCATGGGACACGAGTTTCAATTTGCGATTCACGCTCTGTGAGTCTGTTGCAACCACAACATGTCGGGATATGATGCTCTCAAGCCATCAGAAAGTTGTTGTTACTGTCTCCTTCTCCATTCTCATACTGGCTGTAGTGAGCAGGCTTACTAACAACAATATACTTACTGCATGCAGCATTAACTGTGAAAGTAAAGCATTGCAGCTAAGGTTTCATCTGGGAATCTGTCGTTACAATTGTTGTTTGTTTGTTTGTTTTAGTATCCAGAAGCCATGAGTTGTTAACCCTTAGGCTCGGTATTATGGATATCGCAACCTTTCGGCCTTGATTCCATTTTAAATACCGTTAATCTGGGAGAAATGTGGCTTTTCTGCCCACCCCCGGACCACAAGGAGTTCGTCACCCGCTCACCGCGCAATCCGGTTTAGCCAACTACGCTAGAGAGACGGGCAGTTACAATTATTAAAAGACTTAAGCTAGACGCGAGTACCGTAAGTTTGAGCCACCACACCCTTTCTACACGGGCACGTTAATGTTCCTTATTATTGTGTAAATTCGCTACTATTTTCAAAAACACACGTTTTACTGCAATACAAATACTTGTAATGTAGGATATCCGGGTCACTTCAGCACAACACTTAACCTAGCCATCAAGGAAGTAAAATGCGCCCTTCGAATAAAACACACACTGTTAACCGTTAAGTTTATGTAGCCTTAGAGCTGTGTGAGACCCAAAGGCCTCGTATTTCGCAGGAAAGAATCATGGCGTTCGGTGGGTTTAGGACGAATGGTGGTCCTACGTTTTATGAGGCTGTATACATACCATGGGAGGCAGATCTAACTACATCAGGCCTCATTTTCTGTTTTTGTATTTTAGCGTTTTCTTTCTACCTAATTCTACCCGGACTTGTTGGCAAAGACGTAAGTTGTATTGTAGCTAGATTTGTTTCTGAATGATATCAGTGTTTTACAATTAATTTATTACTCAAACATTTTTTTTTTTAAATAATCTGGTTTTAAATAGATAGAGAAACAATTTTCTTACATTCAATATCATCGATTTGATCAGTCCAAGGCCTAGTTTAATGTCGAAGTTGTTATCTTGTGAATGCAAATGGATTATCTTCCGAAAGACGGTCCCAAAGTTTCGAGGCAGAAAATAAACCCTAACAGGGCCTCAGTCACTTGTCAATTGCGCACTTTTGGCAATTTAAATTGCACACTTCCGCCAATGCCGAGTGTATCCCACACGCCGCTCACGCGGCGTGGATTATGGCTAAACCAGATGGCTGGGAGTCACGAGCAGCAGCTACTGCATTTCCTGCAACTGTCTTGATTTTATTTGCTCTTGAGTCCTAGCCATCTAGTTTAACCCCAAGCCCCAATGGGGGATACTCTCGGCGGTGGCGGCATAGTCCCCGAAAGTTCGCAATTCGGCGGTGGCGGTATAGTCCCCGGAAGTGCGCAACTGACAGGTGACTGAGGCCCTGTCAGGGTATATTTTCTGCCTCGATAATTTGGGACAGTTATTCGGAAGATAGCCTGCAAATGTCTTTTGATCTTATAGTTCTTTCCTGCTAATATAATGTCTCAAACCCAAAGTCATTGAACGTCACCATGACGTCAGTTCTCTGACTTCCAACAGTCTGCGTACAAATAAGTCAGATCGGATGTGCCTGCAGGATCAAAACCAAAGTCCATGGGTGGACGAATAACTAAAACTTTCCACTAGAATTTACACAGACGATGAACACGAAGAAGAGCAAGAAGAATTCGTTCCCCCAAAATTACCCAGCTCACGTTATTAACAGAGACGCGTATATTCGTATCCAGATTATACATATTATGAGTTGGGTTTCCTCATGCACTCCAAACACATTTAAAGGTGCTCAGATTCCCCGCTCAGCATACAGACCAACGTACCACGGTTTATAGTACAATCCTGTGCTAGTGGAAAAAAAAAAATCTCAAAATCCCTTACTGTTGAGCTCCTCAGGTAATCGATATAAATATGGAGTGTCAACAAAAGATCCCGATCCTCTTTCAACCTTAGAAACAGTAATTAGGGAAAGTATAGTAGTCAAAAATGGATGCACGATGTTTCGGCTTGTATATCAAGCAATGTATGGCATGTTATTAAACATGTACGTTTGGTCTTATTCATGGGACAAGTTTGGAAGCAAGCTGGCTGAAGAAGAAAGAACAGCAGTGCAAAACTCCTACAACAACAACAACAAAAAAAGGCATGAGAAATAGGAACGAAGAATACAATCCAACAGAAATTGTAAATGATGAAGCAGGTCAACCTTTAACAGAACCTAACACCACTTTAGCAAGGTGGACCAATTACTTTGAAACATTACTTAGCTACAATGAAACAGGTGAAAGCAGGGAAGAACACAAAAACTAACTCACAACCTGGTATAGTATTAGATGGAGCAGAACATGTCATTCATACCGCCCCTGGACTAAAGGTGACAGGCATTGATGATCTACCTGCTGAGGCAATCAAGGCTGCAGGAGCAGCGGCTGCAACATGGTTGAAGAGAATATTCAAGGTAACATAGGAAAATAAAGAAACACCACCAGATTGGCAAACTGCTGTTGTCGTCCCGCTATGGAAAAATAAAGGAAGTAAGAGGGACTGTGCTAGTTACTGAGGAATATCACCTCTCAGTCACATTGGAAAAATGTATGCTAAGATAATCTAAAGAAGGCTAAGACCAATGATAGAGTATCAACTTTCAGAAGAACAGATTGGATGTCGACGCAACTGAAGTTGCACAGATGAAAAAACTGAAAGAGAAATTAGCCCGAGATATCGATAATCCGGAGTGCTAAAGTGAACCTTATGAGAACAATTTTTTTTTGGGCCAACACTATTATCAGTGTCAAACGTGGACACTTACATCCTATAATGAACGTAGAATTGCGACAACAGAGATGAAATGCCTTAGAAGAGCTGTATGAGTTTCAAGGAAAGACAGATTACGAAACCACGAAATCAGAAGAATGTTAGGAATAAAGCCAGTTTTACAAGTCATCACAGAACAACAAATGGAGTGGTTTGGACACCTGACCAATATGCCCTGGTACTATCAACGACAGCAAGCCACACTGAAACGTTACAACGGGTACAGAGTGAGCGGAAGACCTCGAAAAATATGAAGTGATGGCATAAAGAACAGCTTTACAGAATGAACATCACTCTAAATAGTGCTCTTGACAAAGCTCATCAACGAACGTTACATGCGCCACCCCCCCCCCCCCCAACCCCCCTTTTCCGACACTCCAATGAGTTACAAGGTGGAAGAGAAGAAGAAGAAGAAGAAGAAGAAGAAGAAGAAGAAGAAGAAGAAGAAGAAGAAGAAGAAGAAGAAGAAGAAGAAGAAGAAGAAGAAGAAGAAGAAGAAGAAGAAGAAGAAGAAAAAGACGTTTGGTCTGAGCATTCTAAAAAAATTTGGCTAGGTAAATACCTGCAGGTCAACATTAGTTAAGAGCCTTGGTTCCACAGTTGCCAGCATACCCATTTGGTCGTCTTCTTGTGGGATGCAATTTTTCGTTAATTTGAAGCCCCAATCTGGCTGCTGCCTGGGGTCTTAATATAAAATAACTTCTAAGAACGCATGCCGGAAGAATGAAATGCGAGGGTGCTCCACGCAGTAAACGCTGTCGCAAAACTACTACTCCTGTGGTAGTTTCTGAGTCGTTAGGGAACGACGGGCAGGGTGTTCCCCACTCGCCCGGAGAGGCCCATGACGTCGACTGCGGAGACGCATGTTTGATGATTTCCGAGGAAGTGCGTTCCAAGATCAAGTTTCCACCTGCGAGCGATAAGGTGGAGTGGTGTAAGTTAGAGAGTACATTGTGTGAGATACTTAATCATGATTTAAAAAAGAAGTCGTTAGGCGACAAGCTTACTAAGTTTGGTGATGTTATATATGAACACTGCTCCCGTCAGTTCGGGACAGTGGAGAAGGCACAGCCGGGTGCCAAGCAGAATACTAGCAGGAGACAGAGGGACATTCTGAAGTGTCGGGCAGACAAGAATGCCCTCAGAAAAGGGTTCAAAGCCGCTACAGGCAGCGAACTGGAGGGGCTGCATGAAGTTTGGTTGCATTTAAAGAACAAACACAGTGCCCTCTGTCGCGCTGAGCGTTTCTGTAACAACAGACGTAGAACCAAAAGGGAGCGAGAGGAATTCTTTAGGGAACCGTATTAGTTTGCCCGAGGTCTATTCGAGCAACCGAAGTCTGGGACTCTGGTTGTCAGTAAGGAAGAGCTTGAGTTACATTTACGCACAATGTACTCTGACAAAAAGAGGAGAGAGCCTCTCGATGACAATCCAGAGATCTTTAGCGGCCTCAAGCAGCCTGAGTTGCCGAATGTAGCATTTAAAATGATACCTCCCCTTTGGTCTGAGGTTGAGGAAGTTTTGAAAAAGGCCAGCGGCAAGTCTGCCCCAGGTCCAATTCATGTTGATTCCAAAGCTCCTCTGGCCGCTTTTAGACTACGAAGTGACGATGACAGCAGTGGAGACGATGGAGAGGAAAACCAACACAGCCTTAAGAAAGTGGATTGGTGCACTGCCTTGTCTGACCGACGTGGCTCTGTATTGCAAGCAGGCTAAGCTGGTACCCCCGTTCAAATCGATAACCGAAGAGTTTAAAGTTGGCAAAGTAAGACTCGCCATGCTCTTGCGCGAGTCTTCAGACCCAAATGTCATCGCTGTCCAGCCCGCTCTAAAGACTGGGCAGAAGTGGAGAGTCCTCGATGCGATAGAATCTGCCCAGAATGCACTTAAATTGAAGGAGATAATGGGATACACTCAAACCGATTGTCGAGGCCTAGGTCACGGGAAGGTCAATTGGTGGTCCAAAGCCACAGCCAAAGAACGCCGAGACATGGTAATACAACAGGTTAGGGACAACGAAAACGAGGTTCGTTTCCAGAGAGCAGCCCAGCAGTCGCAGCAGGGCCATTGGGTCAGCCTGGAGAGCGCATTGCCAAGAATACTCACATGGGGTGAGATCTGGCGAATGACCCCGCTGCGACTAAGCTTTATCGTTCGTTCGGCGTACGATGTATTACCGACCGGTGTTAACATGGTTAAGTGGTCGGCGACCAACGATCCGACTTGCCCGCTTTGCAAAGCGAAGCAGACGCTAGAACACGTCTTATCCGCATGCAGGAAAGCCCTAGGTCAAGGCCGATATACCTGGCGGCACAACAAGGTGCTAAAAGAGTTAGCAGCCGTTGTTGACCAGGCTAGGATGCGGGCTAGAGCCAGTCCTACCATCGTCCCCATACGTTTCCTCAAGGCTGGGCAGATTCAAAAAGGTAAGATCAACTGAGGCGCATTCGCTCCATCTATGCTAGACTCTGCGAGGGACTGGTTACTGGCGGTTGATCTGTCTGGCCATGACAGGTACCCTGAGTTAATCCGGAAGACCGGCCTGCGACCTGACATAGTGCTCCACTCTGCGGAGAAACTGCAGCTCATCCTGATTGAGCTGACAGTCCCGTATGAGTCGCGTATGGATGAAAATCACACGTATAAGCTCGAGAAATACTGTGATTTAGCAGCCGGTCTGAGGAGAGACGAGGCGTACACAGTACGTGTCTTCACCGTCGAAGTGGGAGCGGGAGGTCTCGTCTGCACTTCACTCTACAATTTGGTTAAAAAACTAGGAACACTTAAGCGGCTGGGCAAGGTTGCTGAGAGGGCCTCGAGCTGGCTTTGGACGGGCCTCGGTAAGCTGTTCCGGGTGTCTAGTGGAAAAGGGTTTCTCATCCTTTGAAAGTCCATCGTGTCCGAATTGTCTGCCAGTGTTTCTCTGCCACCTGCTAACAAAGTCTAACATGTGTCCGGTATACCAATCGTAAGCTAGTCGCTCGGTCGTCCAGGTATGCAGACTGCTCTAATTATGCTACTGCGAAGACTTCTTATCTCACAGTACCTTCTGCAAATCACCAAGTCGTCTTGTCCTATCCGAAAAAAAATACCATCCGGTAATTTCGTGCAGCAGGGAAACCAGCCCTGAGCTTTATGAACTCAGGTGGGCCCACTCTCTGAAAACGTCTAGGAGCTCGTGGGCCGAAACGTTTGTCGACGAGGGATAACTTCTACTGATGACTGGTAGATCCCTGCTGTACATGCTCCCCTGTGGAGTTTATTCCTATAACTTCTGAACGGCGTTTTCGGGACCTCTCCAATGGTGATCCTCATCCGCGTGGTGTCACTTTGTGTCACTGGGTGTTTATCTCTCTGTGTGAAGTCCTGGTGGGGTAAAACTTACTTTCTTACTTACTAGTGGCCAGCACCCGACTAAAACGGACACTCTTTAAGCAACTTTATATATATATATCTATATATATATATATATATATATATATATATATATATATATATATATATATATATATATAGGTATATATGTATGTATGTATGTATGTATATATATATATATATATTATATATATATATATATATATACCACATTCCCATTTTATCTATATGTGTGGTCGGCTCTGTGGCTAAGTCGATGCGAACCCTTCGTAATGCCGGATGCCGGTTTCGATCCCAACTGCGAGTCATGCACCTTGCGTTGGTTTCGACAGTGGTATCAAGAAAGCCGACCGTCCAAAGGCAATAGCAAACTACTGAACGTAAATTTGCCTAGAAAAACCACACAACAGCCAGGGGCTGTTGGGGTTGGTTCTGCAACGTCCTGTAAAGGATAAGTAACAACCTATACACACACACACACACACACACATATATATATATAAAATATATATATATATATATATATATATATATATATATATATATATATATATATATATATATATATAAATATATTGTTTTGTTTAAATGCCCACACGTACTTATCGGCCCCCATAGAGGTAAACTTATTACCGGACTAAAATGTGCCGGCTGCATAACTGATTGACATGTTCTAGAAGAGGCGTGTCTATACTTATAACTAGTTTTAGGCTCACAAAACATGTTTCTTGCTATACTTAAGTAACTCGGCAAATTGCTGCTTAAATTTAACTCTTTAATTAGCTACACCAAAATAGCTCTTTTGGTGGTCTATTGTGGATGAGCTAAGGAGTGACGTACACACCTATGACAAAATAAACATGAAAATCAAAAGACCCGCCAGGACTCAAAATAAACATTCAAACCAAAAGACATACAAGGACTCAAACCAAATGACATAAGCAGAGTACGCCATTCATCTGTCTATTTATACTATTATTAGTTCATTTTCCAGGTTGTAAAAGGTTGGTTGTGAAGTGAGAAGGGAAAGGGAGTTACATTAATTACCCCCCAAACCCGTTCTCCCATTCCCGAGAAAGAAGCTGTGTTACTTCCCTGTTCTTGAAAACTCCTGCCTTATTCTATAAGCTTGCTTTGGTTAAGTTATATAGTTCTCTCTCTCTCTCTCTCTCTCTCTCTCTCTCTCTCTCTCTCTCTCTCTCTCTCTCTCTCCTCCCCTCTCTCTCTCTCTCTCCTCTCTCTCTCTCTCTCTCTCTCTCTCTCTCAAACACACACACACTTACTTTATGCAACGAAACACACCATCTCAACATTATTTGTTATTAAATAAAGGAGCTTATCTACTGTAGTGTGACAAATAGGTGACTGTTGGGATATGGGAATGTGGCTTTTATCAATTTCTAAATTTAGTTACCGGTAATAGTGGTCCTCAAAATGTTCTAGAGTATATTGGACAGAAAGAGTTACAGTAATAACCTCTAGGGATATAGTATAGCAAGATTTCAACATCTGCTTGACTAGAAAGACTTAAGTAATAAATTGCTTTGAATAAGGAAAGATAAGCCTAAACAAATGCTTGGGATTTCTGATAGAATGACTTTTACAACTGCCTGGGATCACGGTCGACTCTGTTCTGGAGAAGGCGATGCTTGGGATGTAGGATAGAAAGACGAGTGATAAAATGACTGAAATATAAGAAAGAAAAACATTAACAATAATTATTTCGGATTTCGGATAGAATAGTTGTAACAACTGGAAAAAGAAGATAAGTAACAAATGATTTAGAAATATTACAGAAATACTTACATTAATAAGAAGGATAAAAGAAATACGTTTGCAAGTAACAAATGTTCGGGATGTAGGGGAAAGGGGGAGGGGCAGAATTAAAGTACAGTTTGTCTAGATAATAGGATAGAAATACGTTAAAAACTGGTTGGGATGTAAGCGGTATTAGTTCGGGTTTTTAAAAAAAAACTGTCTATGATAAAAGAATGAAACACTTTCAGTAACAACCGATTAGATATAATACTTCTCCACGAAAACTGCATTTTTGCCTAGGTGGGCAGCCATTCCTTAATTTCTACACTTTGGACAGGCCGTCATCTTCTATTTCCCCTCTGATGACTCGCCGGCCGCGTCGGAATCAGGACGAATATTGATTTTTCAGGCGAATATAAAACAAAAATTTCAACAACAAAATGGGACGGAAAAAAAAAAGATTGTTAGCCTGTGCTAATATTGGAGTAAGTGTACTTCAATTAACAATTTCTAAGGATGTAGGGAAAACACACAGTTAAAGAACGAATTTGGGATAATGAGGAGTAGCAGTTAAAGTAGTAATTATGGAAGACAGGTGAAAGAAATAAAGTAAAAAGATGTCTGGAAAGGATTAGAGAAAACGCAACAAGTAATGTGAATAGAAAGGGGTAACGTTTAAATAATAACAATACATGAAGGTGGTCTAGAATGTACCATTGCTGTCTTTGGGGATATATGAGGCGAGGTCTCAGTCCCTTCCACAGCGCGACTCTCGTACCATTCCACCCCAGGAAACGAGTTCCCAATGCACTCGAGTATCATGAAACTGTTAACTGCATTCTGTGACCTCAAATTCACAGAGCCGTAAAATTGAAGTAAACCGGCCCTAATGTTACTAAATACGTAATTATACATTTTCAAACAATTGCAGAAACTTTACACATTTATCAGGATTACAGTGAGTCTGTATATTGGAGCTGTGATACTCGGTAAGTTGCATGTTAGATTTTTTATCAACTGTCAGGAGCTAGAAAAAAGGGGTGGAGGGGGGGGGGGGGTGGGAGAGATTAAAACTGACTGCATAAACACGCTGATTGTCCCAAGCCTTTATTCGTAGTTCATTTTCAACACCATTTCCTACTACCAGAATATCAACACTACGATCTTTTTAGAAGACAAAACAAAGAAAAGTGCCAAAAGGTACAAGTATTTACCGTCGTATCTGATCGTCTGTTATAAAATATTTATTATATGGCTGTGTGCGCCATAAATCTAAAACTCAACCCAAAGCCAACAGATCTGATTATTATTATTTTTTCTAAAGATCGCCATCAGTCAGCAAGTCTTTTACAAAACGTCGTTGTTTTTCACGGCAGGTTTTAACGTCTCTCTTTCAGTAGTCAATTATCCAGCCCTATGTGCTTTCATAATCAATGCATCTTCAGTATCTTGTACCTGTCTTCGCCTCTACTTTCCTAAAATGTACCCTCCTTTACTGTTCTTTATAGGTCACCATGGTGCTTAATTAACATGGCCAAAATGTCTCAAATTTCAGGACAGGATGCTGTTTTTTGAGCCAGTTCTCCTAGAGACCTAGATGTTCAGATACTGTAGGATGTCGTTATGTTTCTTCTTTTTGGTCCACAGTATTCTTAGAATTTTGATCTGAAAAATCAAAAACAGACACTAGAATGACGGGGAAACAAGTAAAACGATAAATCTTTTCTAAAGAATTACTATTTACAACAAATGAAAAAAAAAAGAAACATGAAGAAGAGCAGTACTCTCTCTCCCTCCCTCCCTCTGTGTGTGTGTGTCTGTGTGTGTGTCTACCTGTCAGAGCTTTCCTCCTGGACCCTGCCAAAGGTGAGGGCCTACGCTGCCCTGTAATTTTTGGGTTGCATTTATTCTTCATGAAGTAAAGCTAGTGGTCCTCCTCTACAGGCTCCTCCGGTAAAAGCTGTTTGCACTATTTGGGATGTCAGCTTTTGAATACGCCATCCAACATTCAATGTTAACAGAAAACACGCAGTACGGTAGCAGTACCTATATTATCAGGGCTTTTCCAAAATCACTCTCCTAATGTCTTGTAAAGAAAAACCGTTTGCCATAGCGATACCATTCATTGCTTGCATCATTCAGTAGCACTTTAGCTACCTACACGTTGACCTACAGTCGCATTCGCCAACAAATAAACATGGACATTGCCATTTCCTGCTCCACGAGCTGTGAAATTCGTGGCATGATTAGTCTTTTTTTTTTTTTTTTTTTTCAAGCAGAAGGTTACAATGCTAAGCGCTGACCTTCCTTCCGCTCTATGACAAACGTAAATTTTTTTTTTTTAACCAGCCAGTCGGAGGCTGATTTTAGAAACGCCCTCATAGAATGTAATAAGATCATAATTTAGCACAGACGATAAAAATGGCTGGAATTAGTCTGACGTTGGTAATATTTTATCCACATGTTTTAGGAACCCTGGGCGGTTACCAGGGGGCTTTTTGCAGGTAAAAAAAAATAATAAATTGAGGTATTGCAATGTTTTACTTCACATACAAAACCATTACAAATGTCTATATTGCAAGATATTACCTTATTCAATGGCAACAGTTTAGTTTGCAGTGACTTTACACACTCACACATCATAATCATCATAATGAGCCGTGCCGGTAAGCGTAGGCTTTCATGTTTCGCCATATCACACGACACCATATCATGTACCAGTTTTCAATAGTTTTTAAATAACACAATAACTACTGTTTATATTACAGTGACTTTATATAAACCACAATTAAAACAGCTAACCCGATGAACAAATGCTTGATAAAGTCAGATGTGTCGGCCGAAAGGCGTAAATATCGCAGCTATGCTTTAAACAGGCACAACGTCAGTACGTCACCCGGACGAACGAAAAGAAGAGAAGAAGATGTACCATACAACGACAACCGTTTACATTGTAGTGACTCTACATACAACACAATGACAAATGTTTATACTGCAGTGGCTCTACATACAACACAATGACAAATGTTATACTGCAGTGACTTTATATACGATACGATAACAACCATTTATACTGCAGTGACTCTACATTCAACACAATGACAGTCGTTTATATTGCAGTGACTCTACATACAACACATTGACAAATGTTATACTGCAGTGACTCTATATACAACACAATGACAAATGTTATACTGCAGTGACTCTGTATACAACACAATGACACTCGTTTATATTGCAGTGACTCGATATTCAACACAATGACAAATATTATACTGCAGTGACTCTATATACAAAACAATGACAAATGTTTATACTGCAGTGACTCTATATACAATACAATGACAAATGTTTATACTGCAGTGACTCTATATACAACACAATGACACTCGTTTATATTGCAGTGACTCTACAAACAACACAATGACATCCATTTTTATTGCAGTGACTCTACATACAACACAATGACACTCGTTTATATTGCAGTGACTCTACAAACAACACAATGACAAATGTTTATACTGCAGTGACTCTAGATACATCACAATGACAAATGTTTATACTGCAATGACTCTTTACACAACACAATGGCACTCGTTTATATTGCAGTGACTCTACGAACAACATAATGACATCCATTTTTATTGCAGTGACTCTACAAACAACACAATAACAACAGTTTATATTGCAGTGACTCTACCTACAGCACAATGACAACAGTTTATATTGCAGTGATTCTACCAACAACACAATAACAACAGTTTATATTGCAGTGACTCCATTTGCAACACAATAACAACAGTGTTGTTTTTTTTTTTTTTGCAGTGACTCTACCTACAACAAAATGACAACAGTTTATATTGCAGTGACTCTGCCTACAACACAATGACAACGGGTTATATTGCAGTGACTCTACCTACAACACAATAACAACAGTTTATATTACAGTGACTCCATTTGCGACACAATAACAACAGTTTTTTTTTTTGGGCAGCGACTCTACCTACAACAAAATGACAACAGTTTATATTGCAGTGACTCTACCTACAACACAATGACAACGGGTTATATTGCAGTGACTCTACCTACAACACAATTACAACAGTGTATATTGCAGTGACTCTACCTACAACACAAAGACAACAGTTTATATTGCAGTGACTCTACCTATAACACAAAGACAACAGTTTATATTGCAGTGACTCTACCTACAACACAATGACAACAGTTTATATTGCAGTGACTCTACCTACAACACAAAGACAACAGTTTATATTGCAGTGACTCTACCTATAACACAAAAACAACCGTTTGTTTTGCAGTGACTAACTTCGCCCAGACCTGGGAAACAGCCGAGACACACACCAAGACCAAGTACAAAGCTGGTACCGGCCAGGAAGTCAATGTGACAATCGGTGTCAACATCGGATTTAGAGGTGTCAACATCACACTCAAAGGTTAGACCAGAGAATTATTGTTTCTTATCTCTCTCCTTCCTATGTAGTTTTATTAATCTATTTTCTTAGTTAATGCTCGTGGGAAAACGAATGTCATGGACCGTGTTGTGTGGAGTGAGCACATGAGGAAGGAAATACGAATGGAGGAAAAAATTATTGCAAAAAGGATGAGAGCTGAGCGTCTGAGAAGAAACAGACTAAACACAAATGTTAACACCAAAGGTCCTAAAATCCATGCTATCACTGTGGAAGTCTTTTCTTAACGCAGGCGGGTCTTGCTAGTTGCCCTCGACATCGCCATGAGCTGTGAGTCCCATGCTTTCTCATATCACAGCATACTACTATTATATGGAAAGACGGAAAGGTGCGTCATTTTTAGTTAAAAACTGTTACGTTCGGTATCGGACTTCAGTATCAGATACTTATTTTATTTCACTTCTTTATGTCCAAGACCTTTAGTGTGAGATTCACTGTGTGGGTTTCAGGGTGCCATTTGCGGGGGTGGGGAAGGCGCTTGGGGTTGCGGGGGGGGGGGGCAAGAGGCCTAATTCTTTTCTCCAAAAAGCATGTCATACAAGGCTACCAATTATGGGTTTGCTAAATCGGATGTATTGGGCCAAAAGGCGCAGATCTTACAACGTGCCCACCGCCCTCTTTATTCCTCCAGTACCAAAAAACTTATCATGCGTTAGTTGATTTATATTTATATCATATAAATTATATGAATTTCCTTTCTTGCCCCCCTGAGCCAAATCTAGTTGTTGTTAAACAATCGACTTGAATCGACTTTTTTCATCTCAAGGACATCATACCGAGCGATAAACACCCGGTGACACACAGTGCCACAATTTGGATGAAGACCACCCGTGGAGAGGTCCCAGAAACCCTGTTCAACCTATAGATTGAGTTATAATTAGGGCCCCGACAACAGACGGAGTATGGCTTCAAAATGCTGGAAAATTGCGTCCCGCATGAGGACGTTTTAAAAATATAATTATACTATGTTAACCCAGTCTCCTCCAGTTGTTTTTTCAACTATTCTGCATAAGATTTTCAGCAAAAAAAAGGATGCCTTTTTTCGACAGTCAAACCTCAAGGAAGACCCCAAGCACAATATATTAGAGATCATGTACTTTTGACTGATGTCTGAAAGAATTCGTATTAAACAAACAGGCCATTGTTATTGCCAGTGCTTGATTAAGTTAGGTAAGTTGTTGTACCCCACTAGGACATCACACAAGCAATAAACACCCGGTGACACAAAAGCACCACTATACGGATGAGGATCAAAAACCCCTTTCAGCCGTTAGGCCATATCTATGGCTAAGCCATATATATATATATATATATATATATATATATATATATATATATATATATATATTTTTTTTTTTTTTTTTTTTGGGGGGGGGGGGGGGCTAAGCCATAATTATGGCCCAGCTATATTCAGGGCCCGTAACAAAAGGCAGGATGAGGCGCTTCAAAATAACAAAAGTGTGTACCCCACTAGGGGACGACACTACAAGTAGTGCTTGATTTAAGCATATGCTAAATAAGCTACAGTTTAGTACCTCACAATTTCCAAGGGCCTCTAAAAGTTTCTATTTATTTTGTTTCAGTTTTTGTTTTTAATAATGCAGTTGTTTTTTTTTTTTTATATATATCTTACATACAATTTTCTGTAAATAGAGCCCTTTATAGGACTGTATAATATAATTTGAAATAAGAGATTTTCTTTTTTCTTTTAATAATAGGAGACAAAAATCAAATTGAAGGGGAGACAATCAACTACAATGAGAATTTTAACTGGGAAGGCTTGCAAGGCCGCTTGGGATTTGGTCCCTTTGGTAAGTATATACAATTTCAAAACGTTGACCGTTAACATATTGAGGAGACGCATTACTGTGACAAGCAGGTTTGTCTACTGGTCTGCTGGAACGGTGGTCATTCTTTTGATACTTATGTTTAAAAGCTAATTTTTATCTTCAGCGATACGATAACAGAAACTTTATCATTGTGCCAGCACTTTTGACAGGGGCCGCAATATAGGCAGGCCATCAATATGAGATCGAGCCACTGCCTCTGAGCGTGACGCTGGTGCAGGATCTCTCCACGGCTCTTGTGGAGGGAACCAGGCACCTTTGAGGATCGTTCCTCTCCTCCTTTAGCGAGGGGTAGGAGGAGGCAGTGACGATCTGAGTGGTTTCTCTTTTTAAAATTAATATCATGAATGGGTCAAGTAGAAAGCAATTGATGTCACTGGTGGCACAGGATTTTTTTTTAAAAGTGAATATCGCAGTATGTGTACATAGTTTTATTCTAATACACGCAACCAAGCGTTTCCACCAAACTTTGTTTTCTTTTTCTGAATTCAACTGCCAACTATACTTAACAAAAAACTTGAACAAAAAAGAGCATCCAATGACCCAAAAACAAAAACAAAAATATGGCCAATTGTCTGAACTCGGTTTTTGGGACCTCTCCACGGTGATCCTCATCCGCATGATGGCACTTTGTGTCATCGGGTGTTTATCGCTTGTGTGATGTCCTGGTGGGGTAGAAAGTCAAGTCAAGTCATATGGACTAATGGCTGAACGCAGTTTCTGGGACCTCTCCACGGTGATCCTTATCAGCATGGTGGCACTTTGTGTGCTAGGGTGTTTATCGCTTGTGTGATGTCCTGGTGGGGTACAAGTAGATAGACAGTGCCAGCATTTTTTAAAGACACTTTGCAGTGAATACCCCGGCATTACGAAGCGCGTTCACTATGCCTAAGCCACAAATGCTGTCTTTGGTGAGTACCAACACCTTTTTAGATACCTGGGTTCCTTAGTGCAAACCGGCAAATCTAGAATCCAATGATGATGAATTATTAAATTAACATTATAGCCATTCTGCAGAGAGACCGAACCTTGTGGAATAAAACGCGAAGCAGTTGAATCATCCCTTTTGCCGAGATTATGTAGTTTACAGCCATTCTCTTATTCCACCACAAAACTACAGTCCAGATGGAATGGAATCAGGTTTATTATGGCTGACATCAAAACCCCTCCCTCACAACATTTTCTACTGCACGTATTTCTTCTGTGTTCACCCTAAAAAGGATGGTTGTCACGTTGTGTTGTTATATGCAAAAGGCTGCAATAGTTGTGCTTTTAGGCCATACCACATCCAATTTCAACAAAACTTAAATTTGTCGCCTTCTACGACATGCTTGTTAGGGGTGCCAATTTGTCTTGCATTGGTTTCAACAGTGGTTCTCACAGCTTACCATTCAGTAAGCAATGTCAAACTACTTAACATAAAGTTTGCCTGGGGGAACGACAATAGCTCCCCCCCCCCCCCCAATGCTGGAGTTGGTTCTGCAACGTCCTATAAAAAATACACAACTAACTTTGTTGGGAGGCAGTGGGTCTCTACCCCCCCCCCCCCACCCCCCAAAAAAAGAGTTCCCGGAACTCACACAGACATAACATGACACACACAAAAAGAGGAAGTAAAACAAAATTAGATTTGGGAGCCGGGGGGTGGGGGCAGTCTCTATAAAATGGTAATCGAATAGAATTATAACAGTTTTATTATACATGTTTATATTCTTGAATCAGATTATTACAGTTTTACTAAACATTCCTAGAGTATGTCTCCAAAGCATTCAAATCGATGTCATTTCAGTATCCATAGTGATTCGTTTCCTAAGCATTGTGTTTAGTGAATGGTTGTCTTATTTTGATTATGTCTGTTTTGTCGTTACCATGGTGTTAATAAAAAAAAATATATTTTAGCTGGGCATTTTAGCCAACAGTTCAGAGCCGCCCAGTTGAGAGGTCTGCCACTGCCCATTCTGTGGATAGCTGAGTACTTCACTCTGGATGGAGAAGGCATCCGATGGGGAAGATTTTATAGACAGGCCGGCTGGTATTCACACATTATACTTTGGTATGTACAACCTTTCATTTGCATTATTTTTACCTATTAGGGAAACAAAGAATAAGAACATTGTAAACTATCAAGCATGACTTAAGACTCGCCATAGAATGGCCGATGTGAGAGAGTTCACTTTTTCACTAGACAGTTTTGTTTGGCTGAAAAAAACCAAACACGAATCAACCATAAAGATTTGTATGAAGACTTTTTGGTACAAGTTGTTTGACGCTACGTTTCATTGGAAGATGAAAGGTAGAAAATTATTATTATTATGAAAGAAAAGAAAATGTGGAAGAAGAAAAAGGAGCAGAAGAAGAAGAAGGAGGGGGAGGAACAGAAGAAGAAGGAGGAGCAGACGAAGAAGAAGGGGGAGCAAAAGAAGAAGAAGGAGGAGCAGAAGAAGAAGAAGGGGGAGCAAAAGAAGAAGAAGGAGGAGCAGAAGAAGAAGAAGAAGGAGGAGCAGAACAAGAAGAAGAAGGAGGAGCAGAAGAAGAAAAAGATGGAGGAGCTAAAGAAGAAGGAGGAGCAGAAGAAGAAAAAGATGGAGGAGCTGAAGAAGAAGGAGGAGCAGAAGAAGAAGGGGGAGCAAAAGAAGAAGAAGGAGGAGCAGAACAAGAAGAAGAAGGAGGAGCAGAAGAAGAAAAAGATGGAGGAGCTGAAGAAGAAGGAGGAGCAGAAGAAGAAGGGGGAGCAAAAGAAGAAGAAGGAGGAGCAGAACAAGAAGAAGAAGGAGGAGCAGAAGAAGAAAAAGATGGAGGAGCTGAAGAAGAAGGAGGAGCTGAAGAAGAAGGAGGAGCAGAAGAAGAAAAAGATGGAGGGGCAGAAGAAGAAGGAGGAGCAGAAGAAGAAAAAGATGGAGGAGCTGAAGAAGAAGAAGAAGCAGAAGAAGAAAAAGGCAGAGGAGGAGGAGAAGGATGCTACATCAAATTATCATAATTATAATAAAAACTTCCTGTAGGTCCTGGGGCCCTAGTGTGTGTGGGGGGAGGGGGGGGGTGTGATTGGGTATGTGCACGTATGTCTGTGGGTGGGGGGAGGAGGGGGGTATACCAACTGCACCCTGACAAGCATGTTGTAAGAGTTGACTAATTAGGGGTTTCCTTAGTTGTCTTGCCTAGGAGGCAAAGAACCAACAGTCTGCATACAAAAAAGCCAGATTTTGAAAACCCTGTGCCTGCAAAACTCAAGTTTTCGAACAAGACAAAAGTTAAGACATGCACAGACAACAAGAACTTTACTTTCCGCAAGAATGTACAGCGGGTGTACGTGAAGAAGAAAAATGTAATGAAAACTTTACTTAAATTATAGTAGCCAGGAAATGTGGTATTTTTTTTTTCATGATATAAATAATATTCACAGGTTGGCTTTCCCACTGTGGATACTTTCCAACATTCTGTTCTTTGTCTTGCTGCGTTACGGAGCATACTTTCTGGCACTCACTGGTCTGGCCATGATTACATCAAATATTATTTGGGCTACATTGCGGAATCCACTGGACTTAAGGATTCCTTTCACAGCTCATGATGTCTTAGATTTTTCTTATGGTAGCTCGTTCTGGGTTTGTCTTGTAACAGGTAAAGATGTCAAATATTCATGTTGTTTTTATGTCAGCATTATCCCTCTCTCTCTCTCTCTCTCTCTCTCTCTCTCTCTCTCTCTCTCTCTCTCTCTCTCTCTCTCTCATGCATGCACTCATGAATGCAGGCATATATGTGTGTGCTCGCACACATGTACATATGCATCTGAACACACATACATATTTGTCCACAACCTTGAGCTGTAACACAATAACCTAGTGCTTTCATTTACCGAATACACACATTCACTCACCCAACACATTTATACACACTAACCTAAGATGCACACACACATACGCATTCATTCAGCCCACATATGCAGCAAACAAATGCACATATTAACTTAACACACACACAATAATCCATGCAAACCCTCATCAAGTACACACTACTACTGAATGCAGCTAATCTCTCTCTCTCTGACCCAAAGATCTTGAGTTTGAAACCGTACATTTTTTTCTTTTTCAAAAATAACCTTTGCTATCAAGCAGACCCAGCCTAAAATGCGTATCAGGTAAAGTCCTGGGAAGTAAAGGTGACAGGCATTATATTGACTAAATTACACATTGAGGAAAAAGTGGTCGATAAAATAAGTCTAGTTTCATATGCCTATGTGCCACTGGTGCAAAAACAGTCTAAAAAGAAACAAGGGGGTCAACCTTGCAGCAATACTGGTTGGACAATGTAAGATTATCTTTATATTCTTAGTACAATATCTATCTTAATCAAAACCCAAAAAGTGTAAACAAAGCAATATTTAACACAATAATACAAATTACATACTTGTCTTTAAAAAATAATTACTCAATATATAAAATAACAAATATTTATTCTGAGAACTCGACGAACACTGAATACCCCAGTTTTAAATGTAGGGGTTCAACGGGACCTTTTAAAAATATAAATTACTACTACTACTGGTTGGTAGACAAGCACTATGCCAGCACTGCTGTCATAAACAGTATCATCATTTTGGGAGCTATATTGAAAAGTAAATAGGGCTAGCCCCTTATTTTATAGCCAAACAGCGGTGGTTGATGTGGTCAGCATCACACCGGGAGCCATATTATGAGAATTAAAAAAACAGTGAAACGTTGTAATAAATGGAAAGCTATATGGAATCAGAAAGAGAAATTCTTGGTCAGCTTACATTATGACATGAACAAGTTTGAGCACAGAAATATATGCATTCTATAGAAAAATCATGAGATGCAGACAAGTATGATCATTCACATCGTGTAGAATGATGGTAATGGCCATTGTTGCCACTTTTCTTTGACAAAAAACATCCAAAACTTAGTCAAAAAATTATCTAAAAACATCTACATTTGCGTAGAAAACATCTAGAAAAAACATTCAAATGGAAAGAGTCACAAATTACATAGCAATTGATATGACTTACCCTATAGAATCATGTCCTCATATTTACTGGTCTGCCTTACAAGATCTACAGGATAAACTTAGCTTGGATGATGAAGTTGAAGCTTCAGATCCAAAATGACTCTGGTATGCTTTAGCTGTTCCCATTTCTTTTAATACCCAACCAGGGAGCTGATAAGTGGAACAGCCTTTTCATACTCTTATCAGGGTGAATTTTATTGTCCAGATAGCATTTAAGAGGTCAAATTTCATCGTTTCTTAGGTTAGATTTGATAAATTCACTCCAAATGAAAAGAATCTAGAAAACATCTACCATCTAAACGTTAAAAACGCCATCTAAATGCAAAAAACATCTAAATCTGGATGTAAAACATCTAAAGTGGCAACACTGGTAATGGCAAAGAAAATGAGGATTTTATAAGACTGCTTTCTAGTCTCCTAATTGTGTTTGATTGGAATGCTGATTTATTCTAGCAGAAAGTTTTGGTTATTCATCCACTTCTTGACTTCAGTCATGTTCCAGAACCTGCGTTTTGCATGTAAATCCATTTTACAGATCTGGCTTATTTGTAACTCACCTGCACAGTCGTGGCGACAGCACTAGCCATGCTGCCATAAATCCTCAGGCTAAAAGACCCCCCCCCCCTCCCCTCCCCCGACCCAGGCCTACATGCAAAAGTGTTATAATAAAGGTGTTAATTGGCTGTCTTTTGTGTGGTTTATGTGCAGACTGTTTGCCCCTTCGCCTCTCAGACAGATACCCTCCGATTTCAGAGAAAAAAATCCCTAATTTGTGGCCCTTTATGACAGGCTTATAAGGGAAGCAGTGGGTATATACCTACCTCAGATGGGGACCAGAACCGAAGGGGGAATGTCAGGTACTGATGAATTGTCATTTTATTTTTATGATAGGAATAATTTGCATTGTCTTGGGAATCATCATATTTTTGGTGGACAAGCTGTGGCCTACCCATGCTGCTGTGTTCTTTGGTGTAGATGTTCTTCAGGACTCAGAGAATATTCTTGTTGAAGGTCTGTATGATAACTAAACATGGAGCTCAGTTGTTATTGATAATGATGATATAATGATACCAATAACACCAATAGAAAATCTGTTTAGCTATGTCAACTGTGTGGAGTAACTGTTATGTCTGTGTAATCTGAACTTGGTCAGGTTTTTTTTTTTTTTTTTAGTTTAAAAATATTCACTATAAACAATGTATTTCACGTATTAAAGACAAAAAGTAAAGGACCTTTTCTACGCCTTTAGGCGAATAGGGCCTATAGGGCCTGCACCTGGTACCCACTCAAACAGGTAAAATATCCGGTTAAAATGGACGCTAGACAGCGGCGCTGTTCGGAGCGGAGGCAAATTTTTTGCTTCTGCCGGACGGTGGCCGAAGTATTTTTGCTCCATTTGTAGACTGGATATAGTTTCGTCGCCCAGCTTCTGAGTTGAATGCATGACGTGACCCTGTGAGCTGTGGATTGCATTTGGAATGTTTTTTCGACTGTGACCAACGTGGTGTGAATTGTAGATTCAAAAAATGGCGCGATGCCGGTCGTGCAATGCTGGCGGGACCCGTATTAAAATTGATCGCCCGGGCAACTGCTGATCTGTTGGCGACAAGTTCTGCTATCATCAATGATGAACTACATTTCTAATGTTGGACTGTTTGTGTTAGCACTTCGGATGGCTACCATATGCTTTAATGCGAGTGTATGCTAGATATGCTGAGACAGCAGTCTGTCAATCTTTCCACAAGGGACTGTGATAAACATTCTGGGTGTTTTTCGCTGGCACAGGAGCGGAGCAAAGATGGGGCGACCCGTTTGCTATGAAGCTGAAACTAAGACTACCAGACTACCAGACTACCCACTCAAGGCTGGGTCTACCTGGGAGCCAAGGTCATTTTTTAAAAGAGCGAACCCACTTCCTTCCGATCTGCAGGCGATCGTCTAGCCGATAATTTGGCGTATTAGCAATATAATATACAAAGTCCAGTCACAAAAGTGCGCAAGCAGCCAGGTAGTCACCTGTGGGGGAAGAGGTAGATGGTGTAATAGCCAGTTAATAGGTCACATACAGAGTTAGCAAAAACGTGTATACACAATTAAACAGCTGTAATTTTTTGACATCTTCCGAAGTTAGATCGAGTTACAGTAGCACAAGCTTGAAGTCATTTCAAGGTTTAAAAAGAGGCTCAACTTCATTGCACCATATTTCAGCCAATGATGATCTCCAGAGATCTTCATAAAAACTGCACTCATGATCTGAACAACGCAGTTGCAAAATGAACCCATAAACTTCAGGGAACAAGGCAAGTCGTGTAACAATTAGGCAAAATTAAATATGATCTTTTCACAAAAGATATTGTTACTCCTATGTTACTCAAACACATATGTACATGGCAGACAGTCAAAATGGTTCAGTAAACATAATCAAAATGGCCAAGGCGCGATTGCCTTTTGAGGATTGCAAGACAGTTCTAAAGTGCTATTTTGAATTTGAGAATGCCTTCGAAGTTCAGTAACAATGGAGGCATGAGTTTGCATTTTGGCCAATAACATGCCTGACTACTGCATGAATACATGTTACATTTGAAGCAGATGGTACCATATGTGATGTGCACAAGGAAAATTCCCAAAGGCCTTGTATGACAAAATTTTCACTTTCTTAAGCAGGATGTTGGGATAGTTTGACCATGCAACTAAATGTTGTCTTTGTGACATTTTTTTTAAATTTCTACATTTGTGACAGAAGAAGAAGAGCCCACAACAGTAGTTGGAACGCCAGAGGATGGCAGTAGCAAACGAGAGAGCAATGGTTCTACAGATTATGATGACGACCTGTACAATCCACCTCCACCAGCACTGGTATGAATCGTTTATGAATACTTCAACCCTTTGGAGACGGAGCATTTTTTTTTTTTTAGTTTCAGTTCCAAAATGGCGAAGCTTTCAGAGAAAAATTCTTTTAGTTTACACTCAAAAAGTTATTTTAAAAAAAGCCAGTAATTAACATGTATAAAACTATACATAATCGGGTAGGAAATTGAATGGACTAACAGAATATGGATGAATCAAACTGAAATCTAAACATTTATTAAATTAACTACTATTATTTGCATAATATATGCAGGCATGTTTTTTTTTTTTTTTTTTTTTTTCTGTAACTTGGGATTAAACATGACTAACCTGAAAAATTTGGGTGAGTTTTTTTTATGGATGAAATTTGAATAAGTCCTAAGTCTTGTGTTTTGGGGAAATAAGAACCGATGAGGCTGTTCAGACACTTCTGACACATCTTTCTACTAATTTTCATGCCTTCTGCTACGCTTCGGTTTCTATGACGCAACAGGCCTTTTAACCGTCGTTGGGCACAGGTATACCCACACACACAAAATCACTGTAACATTATAGAACACATCAATTTTTTTCAAAAGCCGCCATTAAACAACCCACACATGCAAGAAATGCGAAAAGCAATCTGATTGGCAGGTACAAAAACCTGCCAGCCAATCTCAAGGCTTGTATTACACAGTGCCGACCCATCAGCCGGGTCGTCTTTTTGGCTACTTGCGCTGGGCCGATATTTCGGCCGCGTCCTCTCCAGAGGGTTAACATTATGTCAAAAAATGGAAACACATTTTAACTGGTTCACTAGAAATCAACACACCATACAGCTCTTGATCACTCTATATATGGTATACCTTGCTCAACTTTTCTTCCCAAAATGAATCAGCTAAACTCATTTAGACTGAACAATTCTTACTTAAAATACACATACTTTGGGATAGAGATTACCAAAATAACAATTGCCTTGTAATGAAAAGAGTTGAACAGTTAAAAGCATTAATGTTTTTTTTAAAGTTAGATTGAATTACATTATGATGTTCTCTCCCCCCACCCCAAAAAATTACTTACATTATTTGGCTCCCTGTGTTGGTTCCAGAGGTTCCATTTTGGAGAATACAAAATAGACCTACTGACACCCCCCCCCTCTCCCCCTCCCCCCTAAGAACGCCGTAGGAGGCAATAAATTAGGGATGTTCTCATCCAAGTCAGTATGCATGTGCCTGAGAGGCAAGGAACCAACAGTCTGCATAAAAACAAGCCAGATCTATAATATGGAAGTTTATGCAACACTTTGGATCAAGACCAAAGACTAGGATTGGACGAACAACCAGAACTTTGTGCTGGAATTTACAGCCAGTGAATGTTGACAAGAAAAAGATAAGTTTGTAAAACGTTAAGTTCCCTTTTCCTAACTCTGGCACACAGTGAATAGAGTGCCAGCCTATTTTTTTTTTTTTTTACACCAGCGAACACCTTGAGGGTATTTTAAGTATATTTTCTCTTGATACAGTGTAGTTTGTTTTGTTCTGCCCAAAGGCTCTTCGTGAGTGATTTATCATTTCATTTTATACCTTCTATTTTGCAAAGATCAGTAAATGAATGTCTGTATTACATCGCTATTTAACTGGCGGCCCGCGAGCCACATTTGGCCCGTGAAGGTATAGCTAGTGACCTGCTGATCTTTGTCAATTGCATTGTAATAATGAGGTTTTCTATGCTTTGGATCGGGTTTCTGGCCCGTGACGATCTCGATTTTCAAAATTGTGGCCCCTGAGAAGACTTAGTTGAATAGCCCTGTATAGTATATTAGTAACTTTTAAAGTTTCCTGTTTCTACTCCATACTGCAGTACTGATTTGACAGTAGAGATAGATACTCTAAGTTCAGTAAATGTTATCAGAAATGTTGGTTGCTCTTTCTCCTAATTTCTGGACAAAACTACTAGTTAATAATGGAACTTTGAAGTGTACTAATATCAACCTCTTTTACAGTCACCCACAGTTCCCGATGCAGCGAGACCATATGCAATAAAACCCCCAGGAGGGAGGTCATATCGTACATCTGAACATCGACTAACAAAGAGACTTCAGCGACCACGACGCAGAGAACCACCACCTATTCCACAACGGGCTACTGTAGCAGATGATGATGATGATTATTACCAGAATGCTCCCGCTAAGAGAGAACCAAAGGGCGCAGCTAAGCATGTGTCCATAGGCAACAGGGAGAGCTTGGCAGAGGAGACTTTTGACAATGCACAGCCTGCTACCATTGAGTAAGTGCTGGATTGTTATAGCATATTTATTTTTGTTGTGGGTACTAGGGTATGTACAGTTTGGGGAGCTTTCAGGTTACGTCACCTATGATGTGGTTCAATATTATACTGGCAAACTTTATTTTCTAAGCCAGACTTTACTTTCAAAGCCATTGCCTGGTAGGATTTTAGGCTGGGGTGTTTTTTGCGTGGGTGTTGTGCACAGGGTTAGCGCTTTATTCGTACTGCATGCAGATCTGGGTTTTTAACACTCTCACAGGCTTTAAGTGTTAGTGAAGTTTTGGGTAAGTCTGTTTCAGCTAAATTAATCTTGTGCTTAGGCTAAACAAATCTTGACTAGTCTGTTTCTGATTTGACTAACTGTGACACATGACATGTGCCATGTCGGTTAGTGTAGGCTATTGTGTTTCGCCATCTCACACAATCGCCAGGATCATGGATCAGTTCAAAGTTTTTGTCTCATCCCATCCATCTGACTAGTCATCTAGGTATTAATGTCTTTGCTTTCCTCTTACTCTCTTTCTATCAAGTTTGCCAGTTGTTACAAAGTTCTTAAGTCAATTCCTTCTCACAATATGTCAAGAAAACATTGACTGAGTGTAATTGTTCTAATATGTTTACGACTTTCATCTGTCTCAAAAAGGACTGCTTCATTTGTTTGATTTTTTTGAAAAATATTTCCATATTCTGTGCATTCTTCCCAGAAGAATACCTCTGCGACGAGTAAATGTTTTTCAACTTATCTGCGTATTGTCCATGTTTCTCATGCATAAAACAACACCGGTTCTACATAAGACCTTAAACTCTTTTTCTCACTGCAAGTGACATCTTATTATAGCCATGATGTCTAGCCACTACATCACCGCAGCTTCCTAGAATCTCAGTGCACATGATAAAATATCTCACATAATTTCACTTCACATGAATATTTCATTGAATGACTTTTTCATTTACATAATTTTGGTTTAACTTGTGCTCAGTATAATTTGTTTCTATTTAACTGATTTTTTACTTTTTGTTTTTCAGAATGACTAATTTTGAGAGCTATTAGTTCAGAGGCAGTGACAAACAACTGGACATAAAAAACAGCCAACAAATGCTGGGTTTGGTTATGTGTGTCCAGTAAAACTAACTGTAACTGTAACTAACTGTTTTTTGGATTTTGTTTTTTAATTTTTAAATTAGATATGTAATAAAGGAAAACAAGAAGTGGAATTGTATAGTTTTAGTCTGCCATTTAAAGTACTTTTAATGTTCAGTTAAATATTACATTCATTGAAAATGTATGTTTTACATATATATATCCTACTTTCAATACATTTGAGCTAAAATGTTAAGCCATAATATATTGTACAGGGGGAAAGTCAATAATAAATTGAAGTCACTGTTGAAGTCACAGTTGAAGTCACAAATAGTTATGGTATGTCAGAAAAATGTAGTGTGTGGTTTCTAAAGATGTCATTAGGTGACAGCAACATCCACTTTATGTCTCTGTTCGTTAGGTGGCACAAGGTGTTGCATGCGCATTCGCAACACAGAAACAAAATTGCGACTGTACTTACGGAGTGTACCCTCAAAGAACAACATGCTGTTGTGCATTTTTGTATGTGTGCAAAAGTGTTGCCTGCAAAGGACATTCATAAGGAAATACTTCCTGTTTATGCTGACAAATGTTCATCCCGTAAAGCGGTGCATAGGTGGGTACCCAGACAATTGAGGGACGAACAAAAAAAAGAACCAATTAGGCCTGTCCTTAGAGCACCTTTGTCGATGCGCAGATGAAGGAGAAGACATGCTGAAAACATTGTTGCTGGGGACGAATCATGGGTGGATCACAACCAGCCCAAATCAAAGTGTGCTTCAATGCAATTGAAACATCCTTCTTGGCCTTGTGTTCAAAAATTCAAGGTTACACCATCTGCAGGGAAGGTTATGCTAATAGTGTTCTAGGATTGTCATGCAGTGCTTTCAACCAATAATAATAATAATAAAAGGTGGAAATATAAATGCTGATTCATACTGTAAAGTTATATCGATGCTTCATAATGCAATTTGAAAAAAACATCTAGGCCTGCTGACTAGAGGTATACAGCTCTTTCATCACAATGCCAGACCACATACGGCTCGGTTAATTCAGGAGAAAATAAACCATCTAGGGCGGGGACTTCTGGGACATTCACCTTACAGCCCCGACTTAGAGCCTAGCGATTTCCACCTATTTAGTCTACTGAAAACCATTTTGCGAATGATGCAGAAGTTAAATGTGAAGTGAAAATGTAGTTTAGAAAACAGAACATGCAGCTCTATGCAGCAGGTTTGGGAGAATGATAAAAGGATGGGACAAGTGCATCAATGTTGGTGGAAATCATTTTGAAAAATAAAGGGACAGTGTATATGTAAAAATAAATGGTTTTCAAGTTGTTATTGTCTATAGTATTTTTTTTAACAACCATTTGTGACTTACTTATTGACTTTAACTCGTATGTGTAACATTGCAGTTGAAGACAACTTTTGAGATTTTATCACAGACTAGGCCCAGTTGGCATATAACTAATTTCTTTGTTTGTGGTCTACGATTCTACACTTTTATCTATTCTTCTTGCTTTTGTCGCCAAATGGAGCAGAGGCCTCCAACTATCCCACACCTAAGTTTTCACATCTGTAGATTTGTTTATAATTGTTTTCTCAGTCTGGGTTCTAGGACTCCATTTTGTGGAAGGGGGGAGAGGGGGGGGGGGGTGATAGACTCAATGCAACCTAACAAGCATGGCGAACAAGGTGACTAATAAGGCTTTGCTGAAATCAGATGTCTTAGGCCGAAAGATGCAGATATCGCAGCCAAGCTGTAAACCAAATACAAAGTGTCAACCACCCTTCTAAGGACAAATTCAGAAGATAAATTTAATCATTCACATCATGCTTATCTGACATTGTATGTCATATCCTTAAAACATATTTTAACATCAGCTTCCATAGGGGCTTGAAGTAAACTATTAAACTCTTTTAGTACCAAACAATACATCATATGTTTCTTGGTTCTTCCAAAGATAAAATAATGTTTTTATTTTACTGTTTTCTATTTTTGCTATTAAAGACACATATTTAATTCACCCTCTGTATCTGAATTACTGTAACTCCTTTTGTCTCACAATGTCAGCTCCCTCAAACTTAAGAATTCCCTGTTTCAAAGCTTGAGTCCATGAGATAGAATGAGCTAAGTAAAAAACAGCATGGGACTGAAATATTTAAGAAACTGTCTTATGTTTAGTTTTAGTCGAGGTTTCAGCTTCACTGCAATCGGGTCCTCATTAATTGCTCTATTCCTGTGCCAGTGCAAATCAAATGAAATGTCCCTCACTGTCTCATTTGAAAAACTGGTGAACAAACAATTAGTCCCGGAACAATCTAGAAATATGCGCATGCAGTAATTGCATATAGCAGTTGCTAGAGGCGCGAAAGCAAACAGTCGCCACCAGAAATGCAGTTTGTTGTTGATGGAAATAGTCGGGCACGATAAGTTGGCTACACACACGTAGAATTGCTACATAAAGTATTTCACCAGCTCACACATAAACCGACTACCAGCCATATTGAATACCACGACACAACGTCAGCACAAATAAAAAGCATGTCTTAAGCTGTTTACATCTATAAGTACATCAAAACTTGTTTTGACCTTATGACTACATTTTGATTTTGCAGCATCCAGGTCAATTTCATTTTGTCTTTTGTTTTCTTTGATAATTATCTGTATTTGTTACTTTTGCATTTCTGCTTCCACTATTATTAAAAATGTGTGATTGTCATAAGGTTTAGTTTTGATTTTGGCATTTTGTTGGTGTGTTTATCTAATATATGCATTGGATGCTGGATGACAAATCACACAAAACAATAACTAGCACTAAATCTTACTGATAATTTAAGAACAAGTACAGACGTTTAAGTACCGAGCCACATGGATAACACTGTATGAAAGATGTAACACAGTGGTAAAGAAATGAATGAGACAGGCAAAACGACATTTTAAAGAATGAAGAATACCTTATGCAATAAATCTGTGTCACTGAAGGATTAGAAAACAAAATTGTTGCTTGCTATATATAACCATTTTTAACACATGGCTGGGACTCTTACGTCATGTAAAACAGCTCGACAGGATGATGATGTGAATCTCGGACAGTGAGTAAACAAGCAAAAAAAAAAATAGTTTTACAAAAGAATCCTTGGGCATCCAAAATGAAAACGGCTCTGAGACTCAAAGACAACTTATTGCCCATGAAAAAGAGGCAGTCATAACTTTATGATCGCATTATGAAGAGACAAGTTGTGAAAACTGGAAAGATTTATAGAAAGAGAGACAGAGGAAGACACACCAAGAGAAGATTCTTGACTATCTTTTGTCATAGCTTAGAAAGAGGTCAGCACACTGTTACATGCTCTTTGCAAGCGTATTATGTGAAGAAGTATGATAACCAATGTCAGCTGACATAGCACTTGAAGTTTGAAGCTTGAACGACGGTTCAACATCATGGCACACGGGTAGTAACACATAAGTGCCTCGTTCTTTCTTCTAACTCAAGTCTGAGTCCGAAGAAGCTCAGCACAGTGCACAAGCTCTGTAGCACCGGTGAGGATTCTGAAATACTTTGGGTAGATTTTAAACTCCAAATTTTGCACGGGCAGTGCTGTTAGTCTACACTTCTTGATTTCCAACTGACTGTTTTTTTTTTTACGTGCGCAGCAGTGCACACGGGTGTATTATCCTACTACCCAGAGACCAGGGGGAAATACTAGAAGTCCAAGTCAACGTGAAAAAATCCTAGCCCTTTCTGGGGACTCAACCCAGAACCTCTAGCACTCGTGGCAGACACCATTCCTCGAGACCACGCAACCACCTGACATAGCACTTGATAATGATTAAATCATACTGGTAAATCCCAGTGTGGGTTTTGGGACCCCATTGGGGGTAGGGGGGGGGGAGTAGACCAATACCACCACCA